GATTACATATTTCCTTTCTTACTGCCACGGGGTTAAGAAGCTTTGGTCTTGTGTGGGTGACTGCTGTTACAAGCCAGTAAAGGCTTCTTTGCTGCAGATGTGAGAGAGACAGTTCTTAGCATTTCATGTTGGAAAGTTCACCTTTAACCCTTTGAGTTTTAAAAGACATGGTAACTTTGCTTTAGTTGAAAAAATGCATGACATATTAAAAAATGTTGCTATGGAAACTCTGATGTTAGATACGCTTTTGCAGTCCGATCTGTTTATGTTACCATGAACACATGCAGATATTATCACTTTCCATTTTGGGGTTATTTTTAGTTTGAAAAAATAACTATCAGACCGCAGTTTTTTGATAAACGTGGTCAACATTAAAGTTTTCCAACCACTTTCATCCTGTTTATTAAACAAAATGAAATTACATATCGGTGCTAAATGTTTTAGCCTGTAGTTCTGTATGATCAATATTATTTTGCACTGTTAAGCTTAAATAAACTACTTCAATGTACATTTAAATATTGTCAATGAGCATGCATTACTGCAAATTTAAAAACCTGAGGAGATATGGTTTATTTTTACAGACCTAATATACAGTTCACTTTGCATATGAGACAGCATGATTTGGTAATTACATGTAATAAAGGACAGACCTTTGTACCGTATTCATCAGGGCCATTTTCTACTCACCTGAGTGAAAAAATACAGTTATAATACTCTACAAAACTTCTTAGGCAAAAGTAAAAGCTTTATGAATGAACAGAATCTTAATAAAGCTGCTTATGCTACAACCTCTCTGAAAATTGTAGAAGTCTTAAAATAGTTCATACTGATGCTGAGTCTGCCAAAAGAATAGAGGAAAATAGAAACAAAGATCTTTACAAAAATACAACCCAATACAAGCTTAGGTAATAAAAAAAAAAAAGCCTTATGAGCCAATCATAGGCAAACTTATGAAAACTGTCTGAGCTGAGAAAGAAAATACAAGATTTCCAAATGTAGTTAATTTGGAAACTATTTAAATGAGACCTAAATAGTATAAAGACATGTTTCAATTTTAGATTTCTTCATCAGATGACTACGCTGTTTATTTGCATAACTCATAATCTGATATAATCTGATCTAAACACGTTGTTTTGTAGATTTTTCAGAATTTCTAAACTACAAAAACAATCTATAATGTTTGAAGAAATAAACTATTTTAGGATGTTCAAAATATACAATGAAAATAAAATGTTTGTTTTTTCACAACACTTACTTACAGGAATAAAAAAGCTTAATATTTCTTTTTCAGAACAAAATCAATAATTTCATAATGAGGTAAAGGGAAAAAAACTGACTGATTTGCACCATCTATTTCATTAATTAGTCTAATTGAAAGGTTTTAACTGCTTTCAGGAGTTCTAGTTTCAAGCTGCTCCACAGCACCACTTACAGGTCTGGAATAGCAACTACAGCAATTTAGGTCCAGGGTTGTAAAGTTAACTGAAACTAATGACCAAAACTGAAATGAAGAACATAATAAAAAAAAAAAACTGTAAATACAAAGTAGAAACTACTAATAACAGCATCATTTGTTTGTAAAACTAACTAAAATGTACTAAAAGTAAAGATATCTACCCTTGGTTTTTATTAACCTTGCAAACTGATGTCAAATGTTTTTTTCCCCCCCGACAGAACTCAGTTAAATGATGTATGAAAAAACTAAAATTAACAGAAGAGCTGATAAAAAGTACACTAAACTTTAGTGAAATAATAGTGACTGATGGAAACAAGCAAATAAATTGCTAATGCAAACGAAAATTAACGTGATAAAAGAAAATAATAGTTAAAACAAAACTAAACTGGTAGGAAACATCCCAAACTATTATAACCTTGGCAACCTTATAAGTCATTAATCCTTTTTCCCCTGTTGTTCCCTACAAAAACAGAATGCAAAAACATAAATGAACACATTATATGACCCCTGGCTGCTTTTGGCCATTAATGCATTTCCACACACTCTGGAAATCGCTCCTAGACTCTGCAGTAGCTATGCAGCTGAGGCCTGCAGATAAGCTGTTGACAGAGACTGTCAGCACAGTTCTCTGCCTTTTTCCCTGCATGTGTCAGGGTTTTCTCTGGAACCGAACCGGGGCCCCCCTCCCAGGGCTCCACCTGGTCAGAATGAAGTCGAGATGCTCTTAGAACGGCTGAAAGCTTGGAAGCATGAAGGGGAATGAGGTCAGTAGGAGGAGAGAACCTCATTGGGGAATGCAAACCGGAAGAGTTATGTAAATGGGTCCGCCATTAAGGCCTTCAAAAAGATTGGGGCCAGGCGAGTTGGGAGCATAAACCCAGATGACATCTTTCTTTAGTCTTATTTGATTGACAGTATATTGAAACATTAGAATACAAATTTAATAATTTTCTTTTTATTTCATGCACGTCCCTAAGTTCTGACCCTTCTAGCTTAAATGTCTGCCATCAGGTGCATTAAAGCGATTGAGAGACTAAAAAAAAAAAATGAAGGATGAAAATGTGCTGTGCCTTATGTGACACATATCAAATGTGGCTGTGTAAATCACCCAGCAAGGGAAGAGTAATACCGTAGCAACGTCTGCCAGTGCTGCTAGACAGCTTGTAGCTGCGAGGATTTCACAGTTCAAAGGCAGAAGCAGCAATTTCTTGACGTGGAAAAGCCGAATTCTACATTTAGCTTGGAAGAAGGTTCTCCCCTCTATGTGCAAAGTGATTATATAACTTTAAAAAAACTAAAACTGGACACACAAATTGGCTTTTAAAATAATTACACGCTCTGATTGACCTGATAATGGTTCCGATTACCCATTGGGTCGCCTCAGAATGAAGAAACATTGCTCTAGCAGGTAAAAACTCACCATAAAGGTTTTTTTCAGGAATACCCTAAGGTAGTGTCTGTATATCTAAGAGCAAACACTCTCCAAGATGGTTTTGGTTGAATCATGCTGTTTTTCTGTCAGGGAAACTGCGGTATTGCTCAAAATAGGTGGAATAGTGAAATTTTACCTTCTATTACTTCATGGAATAAACTTAGAACATCAAGTAGAAGAAAAGTACCCTTAAGCAGAACATGTTTGCATGAAAACATCTTAGAATGATAACTCTGGCAATCTGACATCTCACTATCACAAAAATAACTCAAAACAATCATTTACGGTATTTATTTGAGACACATTGTCCATTATATCTGAAACTGATCAATAAATATCCAAATTATGCAATTGTTCCAAATTATACAGCCAGACGAATTTAAACGTGTAAATATTGCCCTCTTGTGGATCTTACAATGAGTATAAAATCTCTAGTTTTCTCACAGCTACTGTTGAGCATAAATGTATTGACCCAAGATGCACATTTCAATCAGCCTTTACTTAATGTAAACATTCCCATTTGGGAAGTTTGCTGTTGCTTTATGTTCTCTTTTGGTATTTTCTGTATTCCTCCCTGATATCTTGAAGCAAAACCCACAAGCATTTATGTGTTTATAGAGGAGTCAGCACTGGAGCATAAGGACATCATGACCTAAGAGCAAAACGTACCAAAAGTGCCACTGATGAGACTTTAAGTACAGTTCCCAAACATCTTCCACTAGGACTCCAGAACTGGGATCATTTGTTGGAACAATTTAAACGGAATTAAAATCAGCAGTAAACGTGCTGAAGTATTAACTTTGAGAACCACGTTTCAAAAAGCTATACCCTAGAATTCTCTCTAAAGAAAATAAAGTCTAGTTTTGATGTTCTGAACTCATATTGCAACCATAACTAGCTCTGCCCATCAATTAAGGATCCCCTTTGACTAATATCTCCAATTTAAGTATTTGATATTTTTCCTCATTTTTAATTAAGGCAGATTTCAAGCACTGAAGGGTCAGAATGTATCTGGGGAGTTTTTAAAAACATGCATATATGTGGATTGATTTTCAGAGAAAACAAGCTGCACTAAGAGTATAAGTGATATTTGGCGCCATCTAGTGGCAAATATTTTGTATTCATCCAGGAGGGATTTTTGAAAGCAGTATAAAAAAAAAATATATAAAATTGGGAAATGTCCATCTATTGCCTTTTTTAATTGTTGTTGAAACAAAAATAAAACATCCTGGGAATTTATGCAGGGTTGAAATATCTTACTTATGTCTGATGTAAGATACCAACCTAACTATGACTTGCTGCCAAAAGAAGGCACAAGGTTTGGAAGGGACTACTTCTTGTGAAAAAGTATGAAAGATGTTTGGTTAATATGACAGCAGTAACCATTTTCTATAATTTAGCAGATTTGTCAGCAGCACATCCATATTTTGATTCTATTCTAACGCGCCGAAAATGGCTTCTAATTACACTGTAATCCGTTAATAAGGATTATGGAAAAGGAACAGCTGTTCTTCTGAATTCCCCCCCTAAAAAAAAAAAAAAGGTATAAACTAAACAAAAAACAGAAACAAATCCTTTGAGACTCATAAAAATTAATAAATAATTCAAACATATCTGTGGCAGGCTTTTGAACTTTATTGGCATTTTGTTTTTGCAAGATCTGTCATTTTATTTCCAGTTACAATAAATGCATAATGGCTAAAACCCCCCCACCCCTCCATAGTCTCATCCCAGGAGAGAATGCACCCCGTACACTTTGCCTGTATTTACAAAGACAAACATGTATTTAGAGATTAATCCTAGCATCACCCAGCTGTGCTGGTTCAGGCCAGTATCATGCAGCAGAGCTCTAACCTAATCAAAGATTTGATATTGCTGAAAGAGGCTTTAGTAGGATATGACCAGTGAAACAATTTTGAAAACGATTTGGCAAAACTTAGGCTGTAACAGTTTAGTTTAAAAGCAGTGAAACAAGACATAAATATCACTATTTTGACAAAAAAAAAAAGTGCAAAAGGCAAATAATCCGTTTGGGATGATTAAGAATTCCAGTTACAAAAAAAACAACAACTTTGATGGTTTTTGTTGTTTTTTTTTTTTTGTTTTTTTTTGTTTTTTTTTACCTCCACATCAAGTTTAACAGATTCACAAATCTTGTACATAAGAACTTCAAAGTGCAAATATTATAAATTGGCATAAGCTTGTATATACATATTTCTTTAATGACGAAAAAAAAAAGTAATCAAAATGTTATCCTCCGTTATATCTTCTCAGGCTTCAGTCACATGACCGGATCCACCCTCTCCTCCCCCAGACTTCATCGCCGTCACGCCAACATCACTGCTGATGTTTTTTTTATTTTTTTTTCAAATAACCGGAGATGAAACCGCGTCTCCGGGCTTTCCAGTCAAAGAGGAAAGAAGCACCCAAAAACCCGAATCTTAAAAACGCTAAATCCTGACGAAAGAGATCCGGCCATGTCATGCGGAACAAGTTGTTGTCCTTTAACGGTCTGGACCTCGTTCAGAGATGGGTTAACTAATCACCTACATCGATAACACACCACCTTACAGCCACAATAAGAGAAATTCATTACAGCTAAATTGCATAAGACTCTTACACTCTAAAGAGTGTCAAAACAAAATAAGCAAAAGCACTGCATGTGAACACACTTCATCATCATCCACTACACCAGACCTGATGAGACCTTATGCAGCTTAGAACACTGTTGCATCCAAGAGAAATCGTTGATTCGGTCATTTGTAAGCGGATTTTTGGAGGGACAGCTGGCGTATTGCTGTTAAAAGGGTTAAAAGTCCTTCCAGTCTAAACCTTTAGGGGCTGATTCTACTTTAAAGTGAACAGGGAGTCTCAGATCTTAAAGGTTTGGAAGCAGCAGGAAGGCGACCAGGAAAACACAGATGGTGCGTTCAGGGCTTCACATCTTACCTTTCCTGTAAAAACAAATGCTACATCACAGTTAATGTAAGACTAGATCACAACTTTCAACTGTTTGTCAAGGAGAAAGGATTCTTTCCTTCGCTTGTTTTTTTTCTTTTTAACTCTTAACACTGAATTTGCAAACTGGAAAAATACAGATTACATTTAGTTTAATAGATTCCTTCATGTTTTTTTTTTTCTTTTTCTTTTTAAAGAGAGGTTTGTTTTTTTTATGTTGTGCTTTAAGAAACACATTAGCCCGACGCAAGTAGAGGTGGAATGGAGGAAAATCTTCTGGGATTTAATTTTCTTCCTCAGAGCAAATTAAAATTGAAATAGACTCCTGGATTAATATGCCAACACCTTCTCTTTACTTCTTTCCTTCCTTCCTTCCCTGCTTCCTCTCCTCGCTGTCGGGCACCGGGGGTCGAGTCATGCGAGGGAAGGAACTGCACAGGAAAAAGGAATGCCGTCGGCATGGAAACCTGCAGGAAGAAAGCGGCATGTTTACGTCAGCGTTGTAGTTTTCCTTTTGATCCAGCAGAGGGCGCTGCTCTACGGAAGAGGATTAGGGCAACTGAAAAAATTAAGTTAATTGATGTTTAAATTTTACTTCAGTATAAAAGTCAGAATTCTGACAGCTAGCAAACATGTTAGCATCAAGCCGTAGCCATGCCTGTTTTAGAGATTAGCTCTCTTGTTTTAATCACCTTCATCATCCAAAATTCTCAGATTAAAGTCCAAATTCTGACATTTTTTCCCATATTAAACTAAAAATGATATTTAAAAATCAGTTAGCCTTTTTTTTCCCCAGTGGCGCTAATCCTCTTCCGTACTCTTGATACAGATGGTGGCAGACTTTATTCTCTCCCTCCCTTTGAAACCTACTTTCAATAGAGGAAGAAGAGACGCGTTCTGTGTGACGTGGCCATGTTTTCTGACATGTTGCGCACTTTCAGGTAGTTCACAAAACCTCTGAAGAAGAGCAGGAGGCCTGCATAAAAAAACAAAACAAAAAAACATTTTCTTTATTAATAATGCTTTTATTTTAAGGCTGGCTTTCAACTGAGATGCTACAAATACTCACCCAGCAACAGGAAGATCCACCACAGCCAGTATTGGCCATTAAAGTAGCCAGTGAAGTAGTCTGAAAACTAAGAAAACAGAAAGAAATCTTAATAATAGCTTTAAAACACAACAGACAACTCTGTGTATTGAAACACACCCTGACGATGAGGATCCACTTAATGAGAGAGAGGCCGAAGCCGCAGATGGCTCCGTAACGCCCTGCGATGGTGTTGGTCAGACAGAAGGACAAACAGAAGCCGATCCAGTTGAACAGGAAGGCCACTGCAGGGTGGGGGGGATACACGGAATTGACGTCAAATGTTGATGCTCCGCTGTAAATTTAGCATTTCATGTGTTTCATGTAAAAGAACAAAACCTCACTGAAAAAGGCCAACATGAAGATTCCGTCGTTTCCGACTCGAAGCTGATCGGCGTCGCTGAAGTCGTCCCTGGGAGGGAAGTCATCATCCTATTTGCACAGAACACACACAAGGTTTGACTTTAAAATGTTAAACAGAAAGGGCAAAAAAAGAGAAAATCAAATCAATAGATTCGTTGCACAACATGTTTGCCCTTCTTTGCCCTAAATGAGTCTGCTGCCTCTCTACAAACAGAGCTACACATCTAGATTCCGTTTAATAGCTTCTATGTTCGAGTCTCTGTTGTTTTGAAGCAACTGTAAATGACAGATTGACACAATTGTAGATTTAAAATAAAAATAAAAAATCTAATTTTCGTCAAACCACTTGATCTGAAACCCAAAAATAAATATAGTACAACACAATTCCCACAAAGGTCACTCCGTATGAGTGCACCTGTTCACTGAAGGCTAGAGGCTTATTAGAGATCATCATGAAGGCACAAAGCAGATAAAACAAACAAATAATAGAAGCAGAGAAGAAGAAGGTAGTAAAGATATTTAAAGTTGAGACAGGTTAAAAAAAAAAAAACATGAATTTACAAATGTCGGAAAATGTAAATCCTCAGTGGAGTTTGTCAAAAAAAAAAAAAAAAAAGGGCAGTCAGTACTGCACATCAACATAAAGACGGCATTCCCACTAAACCGCACGGTGGTGGCGGCATTAATTGTGGAGTACAGGATATTGATCAAAGCTGGGAAGATAAATGGAGCTAAAAATTGCGCAATCTGGAATAAAAAAAAAAAAAAAACATGTCAATTTAGCACTTAATCTGACAAAAAAAAAACCTTGATCATATGAGGTGGTGGTTTTTACATATTTACTGTTTAAGTCAGACCTCCGCAGTGATGTGTCGAGTGAGATGGAAGGAGAGAAACAGTGGCAAAGTAAAAAAAAACACTCAGGTTGGACTCATTTGGAAACAAACCTTCCATATACACCGGAAAAACGATCTAGAAATAAGTAAAAATGTCTTAAATTAAGTGTATCTACCCTTAATTTTGGTAGGTTAATTAGATGATTTGCCAATGGAATGAGTATTTCTACTCTTAAAATAAGATAATTAGATAAACTGCACTTGAATTAAGACAATGCGAAAGTGTTTTCTTATTGTAAGTGTAAATTGTCTTGTTCCATCTGCAAGATGTCTCTTTTACCTCCTCAATCCAAGAATAAATGTACTTATTTTAAGAAAAAATTACTTATCTAGATTTCCATTTTTTCTAGTGTAAAGCGAGCAGGACAGACTCAGACAAATGCAATCAATAAAACCTTTTAATAAAAACAAAAAAAGTCTACTTTACACACGGTAGGATTTCAGAAGGACAGAAAACAGAAAGTGCTAAAATAAAAATTTGAACAAGGATGTTTATGAAGGCACTGGTTTTCTTTTTGTTTATGAAAAACTCTTGGAGAAGATTTCTTTACAGAGGACAACGGTAGTTGAAAAAGGAAGCAAAATGGGAGCCTCAACGGAAAACAAATAACATCAGAGCTTCTAGAGTCAGACACAAGAAGTGTGATCCGACGGTGCTAGAACTAGCTGCGAGTCATCTAACAAGAATGTCCGATGACGTGAAGACGAAGATTTTTAGTCTAACTTGTTACAGAAAGTCGACCACGTTCATTTAAGAGGACTAGGAGCTTAGGGTGTGTTATCTTACCCGGGGCAAAACCTCTACAGCAGAGGCAGCCAGGGCGGCTGCTTTTGCCTTCTCTGCTTCGTCATAGGTTGGTAGTGACGTGGCGACACTGTAGGGTGGAGGAACTGGGAAGTCGCCTTGGAAACTGGTCTCTGTGGAAACAGCAGATGGAAGAAGGCTTGGTCAGAGAAAAGAGAAGCAGAAACATGTATGGTCTGAATGACAATGTGGTGATGCTGTCATGGAACTTGGCTCTGACTCATTGGTTCAAAAGCCACAAAAATCTAATCCTGTTGCCATTCCTGGGAGCTTCAAGCCACACTTTGGAAACGGCTGTAAAGGACAATCTAAAGTAATACCAGGTGCTGCGGCAGTCGCCCCCAGCTCGATGGAGGCGTATGGAGGCGGCGGCGCCTCTGCTTCCGCTGCTGCAGGAGCTGGAGCCGCGCTGGCCTGGCTCTCCCTCTGGTCCTGTCCAGATGCGTCAGCTCTGGCTGACGCTGAGGTGCAGGGCTGTGGCTCAGTGGGGGAAGCCTCTGAAGAATCTTCTTCGTTGTGCAACTGCAAGAGAAAATGGAGAGGGGAGTTTTAGAGTCGTGCGCGAGCTTATCATCTGATCATCTGCTGGAGGGCCAACCTCAGAGTTTCTCATCGGACTGAGCACAGTACCAGCTGCAACAGAAACAACCTGAGAAGATATAAGTTTGCTGCTAACTGCTTCAGAATCAACGTGAATGTTTGCTCAAAGTACAAATAGGTATTTAGTAACTAGACAGGCCTCACATGGCCTGTTTTTATTTCGCCAGCAGCTGCTAAGAGACAACAGTTTGCATGACAGCTGAATCAGGTCATTGTTTGGACTTTGATCGGTTCATATAAACACCCGTATCCTGCTTTTCTGTTGCAGATTTGGGATCATCGCCATGTCACATTCAGCAGACTAAAATGTTAAGAGATTTGGCAATATTTGAATATGTACAGTCAGATAAACTGCAACATAACACATAATCCTCAGAAACCACCTAGCACAGAGGTGGTAAGTTAATCATTGGGGATCGTCCTGCAGCCGCAGCTCACCAACACCATTTATGGGCTTTATAATAAACACATTTTTAGTCCGGGGGGGGGACCACAATTGGTACAGATTTGACTGTCTGGCTAATGAATCTGATGCTGAAGGACATTATTATTATTGCTGCTTTTACCTATGTGCTATTTCTCTTTAAAATGAAAAACATAACACAAAAAAGTAATTTTACCAATTTTTAAGGCAGTATTTTTTCCAGTTATAACTGAAAGAAAAGATATAATAAAAATATAGAAAGCATACAACTTTTCACTATGCATTGTTTGAGGGAAAAAAAAAAAAACTGGTGGAGATGCTGAAACCATATCATTAAATGAACCAAACAAATGACTATAAAGCAAGGAGGTGGCAGCGGTACGATGTGGGCCTCCTTCCAGAAGTCAGGTATTTTGCAACAACTTCAAAATTATAGTTTTCTTTAAAAAAAAAACAGGAAGTGGACATGTCTCCCTCCTCTGTGATGGTTTTTAATATGTAAAGTTTCTTTAGCTTACACATGTTTTGAATTTTCTATCTTATTTTCCTTTATGCACCAGTATGGGGTCTTATAATAGTTCCAATCTAACATCCAATTACTGTTATTTCTAAAACAATTTCCTTAAATTTCTCACATGAACATTTTTTTTACCTTCAAGTCGTCAAAGGTTCTAATTTTGACAATTATATGAACATTTAGAAATGCTGCATATGTTTTTTTTTAAACAGTGTCCTCTATATAATAATAAAAACATTAAAAAAAGAAGAAATGCTGTGTATTTCAGTCAGTGTAAGATTAACAGAATCCAGCTGCACCTTTGGCCTAAACAGAATGTTTGCCCCCAATGGTTCAGGTGCAGCAGGAGAGGCATAAACCTAATCAGTGAATGAAGGGACCTAACTGCTGAGTTGAGTCTATAAATTATTGTCAGAGGCAGGAGCCAAACTGCTTCTGAAATTACAGAAGGGCCACCAGGGTGTGATGGGAACCCAGGAGGTAAACAACCAGGAGGAATATTGCCAACTCCTCGAAAAGCTTACATGTTTCATGAACAAAACTTCAACCCAGCTCATTTTTTTTTGCATTCTAACCAAAAAAAAAAACAGGCTACAGATCCTTCCTGTTGTGTATTATCTTGTATCTTGCTCTGAAGGAGGGCAGAAGCGTCAAACGAAACCATAGATAAGCTCATAGTACACTATAAAAAAAGGCCAGCGCCATCTCTGCCACCGTCGTACTTCGAGCCACCGGGTTGGGCAATTTCCAGAGAACCTCAGCAGCATAAAAAGGGGCGGTGAACGTACACCTTCACGTCTAGCTCACACCCTGCCGGGGGAAAAACGAAAGCTGCGTCAAAGCCGCCGAACGAGTCCAGCTTGTCGAGGCTTTCAACAAATTCCTATGTAGGTCGGCGGGGAGAGAACGACAAGAGCGAAAAGCCAGAAAGAGTAATTAGCTAAAGAAATTCTGACTATAAAAACCAAAAACTTTTTTTTTTTAGAACAAGAATTGGATGATCTAACAGGAAAACGATGCATTTAAAAAGCAAGAAGACGAAAAAAAAAAGGAATTCACCGTTTTGAATTTGTTCCACAAACAGGCTGTGGTTTACCGCCTCTGCCAGTCGGGGTAGCACCGTTTTTTTTTAATCACAGCTCTGACTAAGATCAGAGCAGCTTTTTAAAGAAACAGTCATGTTTAAAAACCCAGAACGCCTAGGTTTTACTTTGTCAGCAAGCAGATATACAAAAATATTTATCATTAGATGGATTTCCTTTTATCAGCACACAAAGCAAGAAGGGAATGACTGGCCAATGGTTGGCTCAGAATCAAGGACAAAGCCTTATGTTGATTTGGTGGTGGTGGGGGGGTTACATAAGATATTAACAGCATCGCCACAAGCCTCCTTGTGTGTCTAAATCCAACTGAAACCAGAGGAATATTTAGAGAACAAACAGGACGGATGGATCGATGTGGTGAGGAGTAAAACGACGCCGAGGCGGATCCCTGAGAAACTTAAAAAAAAAGAATGAAATAAAACAAGCCGATGAGTGTTTGTTGCATTATTCTTGGAATCGGCACAGTTCCTGCAGTCTCTGCTTTGTTTGGTCATGACATGTTAGAGTTAGGTATCTGAACCTTTAAAAGCGGTTTGTCAATTCAGTTGTTTTACTTCTATCCAAACTCCTCTAACTTGGATTCGATTAACCTGAGATTGTCAAATTAGTTTTTACAAGCATCTAGATTTTCTCAGTGAGGTACATCAGTAAAACGATGCATCAGGAGGTTTGTTTAAAATGTAAACAAGAGAACTCAAACAATGAATGTAGCTTTGATTTAAGAACCTTAAAGTAGTATCCCTTCTTAATTTGCAGTTATCCCTTGGTGCGAGAATAGTGCATGTTTGATGAACAAACAGACAAATAAAGCAAAACCATAACACAGCAGTGATGAGGGGTTGTTTTACAGCAACAGTGATTGGAACACCTTGTGAAAATATTTAACTGTAAACACATGTTTACGGTTATGGTTAAGTAGTCTAGAGGCTTCAAGTGCTTTAAAAAGTTTTATAAGTGATATGAAAACACTAAAAGAGCCTAAGATAAAATCCTAATCTTTTTTTTTTTTTTTAACTACTAAAACAGGTTTAAGATGTGACTAAATTTACATTTGGGATTTTCTGTTAACACAATTTCAGGTTTGAAGGAAAATCAGGATCAAATAAAATCATAACTGCTTACAAAGCAGAAAACTTCATTTTTTGTTTTGTTTTTTATTGTTTACAGTAGGTGAATAAGGATGATTTCTTCTTCCCAGGCAGAATGGAATGAAATAAACGCTAGTTTAAAAGCAATGTATGTTATTTGTTGTTGTTTTCTTTTATTAAATAATGAAACTTTTTAAAACAATAAAACCTAAAGGGAAAAAGAAAACCAAAACAAGTTCAACTTATATTAACAGAGCTTTGCTAGCTTATGAAACCATATTCCACATAACACATCGCCTTATCTTTTAGCAGAAAGGTCAAAAGCTGAAAAAAAGGTTATTTTATCAGATATTTTTATGTCGGTCCCTATCGAGAAAAAGTAATCCGTTTCATGACCTTATCGCCTTTTCTCGGAAGCTCGAAACTCGGCTGAGAAGCTAACATGCTAACGAACTAGCTTGCTAAACCACAAATATGTTTTATAAATATTACCAGTTCAAATATTATAAAACATATTTAGCAACAGGGAGAAAAGAAATACTAAAACGTCACACACAAAAATACTAAAAAAAAAGAATAAATAAGTAGATGTTAAGAAATAGCTTTTGTTGTTGTTCGTATCTAACGTTACGCTAGCAAATGCGGAAGTGGTTAATCGAAAACTGGTTTAAAAAAGTTATTTTATTAAATATTAAAGACTAGTGATATTCATACATTCTTTTGATATTTTAAGTTAATGTACTGTCACAAGTGTTTACAAAAAAAGTTGTACTTTGTGCGCCGTATTTTTCCGCAAGGCCTTGTTTGTTGTTAGGCCGATTTTCCTCCGAATGTTTGGATTTCCTGTCTGTTAGAAACACTCACCACTTGGTAACGGCTTGCTGGGTCCATGTCGGTGTGGTTCGGCTGGCGAGGAGGCCAGCCCAGTAAACAGAGAGGATAATTTAGCCTGCCTTTATTCAGGCGGTTTCTGTCACGGAGAGAGACTTAAAGCGGTAGAGGTGCGTGAAGCACTGGCAGCACTGAGTAATGGCTGCAATCTCGACGCACTCGCTCGAAAAACAGCAGAGTGAGTAAAGCTTCATAACGACAGCTTCAAACGGAAGTCATCTTATTCATTTCCGATTTAAGATTTCAGAATAAAAGATGATCAGACGTCTTGAACCAAACCGGCGTTTTTTTTAAACGTAAACTTTGCATATAATCCAAAATATCTAAATATAACACAAGGGCTACATTTCTTTAATAATTATATAGAGAAAATAAGCAACAGCTCACATGTTACAGAATATAATAATGAATAGAACGATAAAAAAAAGTTTTTCGTGTTGATTTATATACTGGAGTAGGCCTACTTTAGTAAATTAATAAATGCATAAATAAATACATAAGTAAATATTGGGAGAGAGTACTGTGCTAAAGACAGCAACTGCTGGGTCACTTAACCCTTTATAGGGCGCTCAGTGATACTTCAAAAAAATCTAGGAAAAAAAAGACTTCTTTGTATCATTAAAAAAATATGGATATTTTGATGGCAAAAATTAACATGGAAACAAGAAACACCAACTTGCCAAAATATATATTAAAAAAAATA